TCTCCCTGGCCCCTCACCCCAGGCCAGCCTCAGGAAGGGCTGCAGGACAGGACCGCAGCTCTGGGCACTGCCCACGCGACTGCCCGGGGGCTGCCGTGCACCCGGTCCCCCGGTGCTCAGGGGGCACCCTGGGCTGGGTCAGGCTCAGGCCAGTACTAAGGATGGAGCCCGTGAGGGACCAAGGGATGATGACTGATGGTGACCCTTGCTCAGGGTGCTGTGGATCAATACTGCCCTTTGCTCACCTGCTCTTTCCCCTCCAACAGCAAGAAAGGGAGGGACAGGGCACCAGGATCATGCTTGGCCTCTCCTCATGTGTTCCTCTCCTTGCCCACAGCCCAGGTTGGCCCTGCTGAGGTCACGCTGCCTTTGGACAGTGGATCTTCTCCCCTTGGCCTTGCCCAGGCTGCTGGCCGCTGCCAGGCACGAGCCCCATGGCTAACCACAGCCACCGTGGCACCACAGACCTGCCAGCCAAGGCTAAGGCCACCGGGCACCATCGCAGCTGACCCCATCTCTGGGTGAACCAGCCTGGACACAGCCAAGTTCAAGCAACTGGCAGCACTTGAAGTCCCTGTCACCTGATCACCTCACCCTGGTCCACAGCGACTCCCCTTCAACCCAGGAGCTGTCTGTGAGCTCCTGCCCAAGGCCTCTGCCAGCATCACCTCGAGCCCAGGGCTGTGCCCGCAACCCCAGCCATGGATCCCGAGCGCAGGGAGAGATGGCAGAGAGGCCAGCACCATTTTATAGACTTTTATTTCCAAATCTGCCGCTTCCATGACACACTTTTACACAGCTTGGGGGGGAGGGGGCAGGTGGGCACAGGCATCTCCCTGCTCCCTGCCCACAGAATCAGGAGATGGAGAGAGGAAAACAAAAACCCAACCAAACCCCCCAAAGAAACAAACCCAACCCCAAGGAGGATGCTCCCCAGAGCCCAGGCCACAGCACTACAATCAGGGACCAAGCCACAGACTGGCTCCTGCTTCTTGACCGGCCCAGCTCTGTGGGGACAGCCACCAGCTCTGTGGGGACAGCCACCAGCTCTGCTGCTCTCTTCTTTTTGGCACTTGTCACTCGCTCTCCATTTGGCACCAGCACAAAGAGCCCCCATGCCCAACTTGGCAGAAACATGGGCCCTACAGCACAGCAGGGACAGGACCCCAGCACTCGGGTGCCGGCGCTGCGCAGCCGGAGAGAAACATGTAAACGAGCTTGTTCCCAAAGGCAAAGACGGGCAGCATGGAGGGGCCCAGCTGTTCCCGGCAGGTGGGGCCAGCAGGTTTTCCCTCTGCGTGCCAGTCCCAAACGGCATGTAAACATGTCAGCAGGCCCTTCCCTCCCCATCCCTGGGAGAAGGGCGGCATCGAGCCTGCCTTGTCGGGGCTGTGCCAGGCCCATGGCATCCCCATCACCCAGCCTCTCTGTTCCCTCCCTGCTTTCCCCACTGACTTGGGGACGTAGCCGAGAGGCCTTGGCCTCCCTGGGGGCCTGGAGGACAGCAGCACACGTCCTCTCCTGTAAACATGTCAGGCTGGGCTGCAGTAAGATGCTACAGCAGTGTGGTAGTAAGGCAGTAAGGAGCGTGCTGTCATGCAGCCCCTAGAGCACCACAGGGGCAGCCGAGCAGAGGCACCGCACTCGGCAGGTGAAAGGGAGTATAGCATGCCAGTCTCCCGAGCCAAATGCCCCTGGCCCGAGGCTGGGGTAGGCACAGAGGAGTGTCAACTCGTGGCAGGGCCAGTGAGAGCCTGGGGCCAGGCCCCCGGCCAAGCAGAGAAATCATCAGGGTGGCCTGAATTTCCAGAGAGGGCAAAGTTCTGTTTATCTCCATCTCCTAAAATCCAGGCCACTCCGGGCTGGGGTCCTCTGCTAGACAGAGAGCACAGGGATGTGTGCGCATGTACGCAGAGCCTGCAGGGAACCAGCTAGATACAACTTTTGTGGGCAACCCTGGACCCTGAGTCTGGAGCCACATCATGTTCCTGCAAACGCAGGGTGAGTGCCAGCTCTGGGAACAGCCTAGTCTGCCCCTGAGCAGGGCTAGGGTCATCCAGCTCCTTGCCTGGACCCACAAACCAACAGAAGTTTGCTCTATAACACACAGGTTAAAGAGCACAACATACAGTGAGTAAAATAGTAATGCTCATTTGCTAAGCAGAGGAAACCAGCCCTTATAGGAGTGGGACCTGGTGCAGGACAGGACTGAACAGGAGAGCTTGTTTTCTCCCCAGCAGGTCCCGAGTGCTGAATTTGCTGCCCTGACTTGCTTGTGCTCTCGCTGGTGCACAGCCCCAGCTCATGGTCAGGGGGCAGCCCCAAGGGGGGTCCTACAGGAGGGCAGAGGGGGGCCTGGCTGTGGGGCCATCACGGCTGCAGGGGGCTGAGGGACGCCAGGCAGGAGGATGGCACCGAGACAACGTGTGGAGCTGCGTGGTGGGAGGGCGAGGGGCAGCAGGGCCAGCTGTCCCACAATGGGGATGGGACGAAGCAGTGCTGGCAAAGCCTTACAGGCTGCCTGGCACTCTGTCTCTCCAGTCCACTGGGATCACGGTCCCTGGCACCCCTGGGAAGGTGGCAAAGGACTGTTGGTGAAATAAATGCTCCAGGTCCTGGGAACAGACCATCCGTAAAAATAACCATAGAAATTTCTCTTCTCTCTGATTACAAAGATACAAAAAGGTAGAAAACCCTCCCCTGCCCCCACGTCCTGGGCTCCATTTCTGTCCCCCTGCCCCTGCCCACCCTCCACGCACACACACGCACACCCCGCACACAAACGGCTCGAAGAGGAAGAGCCTGGCGACACCACCCTCGCTCGAGCAGGCTCCTGCCCTACCTGTCACACCGGGCAGGTGATGGGGAGCACGGTGGCAGGCGAGAGACTGGAGGCTCCCGGCAGTGGGTGGTGCGGGCTGCCGGCCCCTCAGCCCGGAGGGCAGGGAAAGGCAGGGTCGGTTTTGGGCCTCTGACCACCATCAGTTCTGGCCCCTGCCCCCTGGGGACACCAAACCTCAGCTGGCAGCGCCTGGCTAGGTGAAGGGCCCTGCGTCTTCTGTCTCTCTCATGGACAGCTTCGGCCCCTCAGGAATGGCCCTCGTTTCTCGTTATTCTTCTCGGAGGAAAGAAAAACAGTGTTAAGCCGTGGTGTCTCCCCTGGGCTCCAGCTGCCTCCCCCAGCTGTGCCACCTGGGGACAGGGCAGAAACCCACTCCTGTGTCAGGGCAGGACTGACTGTCTCCAAGTCCCTGCATTCAGGGAAGAGGAAAGGAGGGGAGGGGAGGGGATGGGACGGGAGGAATGGCATGGCATGGCATGGCATGGCATGGCATGGCATGGCATGGCATGGCATGGCATGGCATGGCAGCAGCAACAGCAGGGAGCAGAGCTGGAGGGGAAGAAATTACAGACTGGGACAGGGTCCCTGGGGAGAAACGTGGCTGGAGCAGGCAGGACTTGGGCCTCCTTCTCCTCCTCTCCGGTCAGCCAGGCCCTCGCACACATCTGCTCACTGGGACTCACAGCCAGCACTGAGCCAGGGGACCAGCCGTGTGGTCAGCCTGGCTGCACAAAGCGTCTCCCCTGAGCTCCCATGGGCCACAAGTGAGGGCCATCACTTCTGGCAGAGTGCGCACTCGTAACACTGATGTTTCTGCCCGTGCTGCACTGCAAGCGCCCCGAGCTGTCGCACCTGAGGGCTCTCCCTGCCCAGAGACACCTGCCACTCACCCCGGGGGCTCACCCTTACACAGGCCTCTCCCCCAAACCAACCCCACTTTGGGAAGAAGCCAGTCAGGCAGACAACACACAAGACCAGCTGAACAAGGCCTGGCTGAGGAAGGGATACACTTACTCTGAGTCTGGTGACAGCTCCGAAATGCTGTGGGAGGTGGTGGAGCGAGGCGTCGAGGGGCACATTGCAGAGGGCGTCAGGGAGGTCTGCATGGCAGAGGGGGTGGCAGTGGTCTGGGGGCCTGAAGGCGTGCTGGAAGATTGCACCGAAGACAGGACGGAGGAGTTAAAAGAAGCAAGGATGGAAGAAAGGATATCTAACTGTTCAGTGGAAGGATGTCGGCTGGGAACGGCCTCCAGGTTCTCTCTAGAAGGCTGTCTCCTCGACAGCGGCTCTAGGCTTTCCCTAGACAGCTGCCGCCTAGAGAGACTCCCCAGGTTGTCCTGCGAGGGATGCCTGCTAGGCACTGTGTCCAGAGGCTCTCTGGAATTGGATCTTCTGGACAGAAAGTCCAGCTGCTCCCTTGAAGCTTGTCTAGCCGATGCTAGCTGGTCCCTTGAAGGCTGCCTTCTAGAAAGCAAATCCAATTGTTCTCGAGAAGTATCTCGACTTGGCAATGTGTCTATTCGGTCTCTGGACACTTGCCTACTTGGCAATGTGTTTAGCCACTCTCTAGAGACCTCTCTTACTGGCCCACAGTCTAGCTGCTCTCTTGACCCAAATCTGCAAGGTAAAGCGTCAAGGTGGTCTCTGGAGCCCTGCCTCCGGGGCAGTGTGTTCCCATGATCTCTCTGACTGGGCCTAGCAGCAAGTAGATCCAAGTTTTCCCTAGATCCGTGTCTGCTTGGGATACTTTCCAGGTGTTCGGTAGACCCATGCCTGCTGGGGATAGTGTCCAGCTCCTCCCTGGACCCATGCCGGCTGGGCACGGCTTCCAAGCAGTCTCCTGAGTTGTGTCTGCTCAGCTGCTCCCGGGACATCTGTCTCCTCATCAGCATGTCAAGCTGCTCCCGCGACGAGTACCGGCTGGCTGGCTGTGACAGACTGCCTGCCGTAGGAGGCGGCGGGGACAGCCCTGTGACCCAGCGTGGAGGTCTTGTACCACGTCAGCTCGTTGGTCATCCTGCCGACAGATGGCAGGCCTTGGAGAGTCGGAGGGTACTGGAGGCGGTTCTTCAAAATCCCTGCACCGGACAGAGAGAGAAGTCAAATCTTCATGCAAGTGTGAAAAGAGCACAAAAACTGGGGGAGACAAACCATACCTCCCCAAGGACGTGACAAGATAGATCTTATGCTGAGCCTTCAGGGCCACGTCAACCTGAGACAGGCAAGGCCACCCTTGCCCACTTGCTGCAGGCCATTACCTTTTCTTTGCCGTTGGGTCTGGGTGAGGGAGTTCTCATCCCCGCTGGTCAAGGCCAGGTCTGGCTGATTATTGTTGGCTGCATCCTTGTTGATGTCGAATCCCAGCTTCCGCTCAGAGCCCCACTTCTGCAGGGAGCAGGGGTGAACCTCGCACTCACCCAGAGCCGGCCAGTACGACATGAGGTCGTTGCCATCCACGTCTGGTGAAGGACACAGCAAAACAGGCCCCGGGGAAGAGGGAGGGAATATTTCTGTAAGCAGCAATCGAAGCCATCACAAGGCACGGCCTGGGCCCCCGGGACCCAAGCTTACCCTTTGCCCTGCCAGAGCCCCCAGCACTTGCCTTTGGGAGTGGTGTTGGCGGGGTTAGTGAGGAGGCGTTCGCTGTGTGCCGCCCGCTTGAACTGGCGCTGGAAGCGGCCCCGCAGGCGTACATTCTCCTCACTCTCTGAGGACGGGATGGAGAGGCTACGCTCTTCATCCAGAGACAGGTCACTGTCGGAGTCCGAATCCTGGTCTGTAGGGACACGGTGTGTGTGTTGGGGAAACATTTGGAATGAAGGTGGGAGGGGGTCCTGGTGGCAGGGCCAGGAAGGCAGAACCATCCCAGGGCTGACCACCCTCGTGAGGACAACAACCTGCCTCACCCCTTCACTGCCCTTCCCTCAGCAGCAGCCTGCACCTGCTCCCTCAGCCCTATGACCAGGTACCCGTGAGAGAAGCCTGGCTCCACCTCGCTGCACCTCCCCATAAGGCAGCTGCAAATAGCCATAAGATCCCCTTTGCCTCCTCTTCCTCCAGGCTGAGCAAACCCACCTCCCTCAGACTCTGCTCGCCTGTCCCACACCCCAGCCCCAGCTGCAAGGGTGGCCCCCGCCAGTCTCACTCCAATGAGTCTGTGCTGTACTGGGGAGCCAGTGTCCCCAGACACTCTGTGACAGCCTACGGCCCCTCTCTTGCCTCCTTCATCTCTAGCTCCTTGGAGACTGGCTATGCCCTTTGCCATCTGTCCAGGAGGAGGCTGTACTGCCTCTCCCTCCTGTCCACAGTGTGTTTGGAAGTCGCACCTGAACACAGGGTGGAGAATATAACCATACAGCCAGAGCCTGCCCCGGGAAGAATTTCCTTAAGCCAGGAGTTAATTCGGGATGCGCAGGGTTGGCCTCAAACCCAGGCACAGGGCTAAGCCTTACCTCCCCCAGCATCGCGGTGGAACATGGCCACGTCGATGTCCGTGGGGCCGGCATGAGCCAGCAGGCTGTGATCTAGGGCTGAACCCTGACGTGCCGTCACGTTGTCTCTGCAAGACAGGAGGCCCCAACAGTCACAGCAGCAGGAGCCCCTGGCTGTGCCCGTGTGCTCCCAGCACCCCGGAGCCCCGCACCGCTCCCTACCTGAGGTATGCCCGCTGGCTGGAGTGGGTGCGGGCAGAACGCACGCTGCTCACCGACGAGATGGTGGAGGCTCCCAGGGTGATGCGGATGAGGCCGCTCTCCTCAAACAGCGCTGTGTTGTTGTAGGCGTTGGGGCCCTTGCGAAGCGAGGAGAGGGCACGTGCCCTGTAAGGAGGTGCCGCAGCAACCCAGGGGATGACCTCCCCACCCGCACCTGCCATACCCCTGGGGAAGTGGGGACGTCTCCACCAGCTCCTGTCCCACGCAAGCAGCCTGTCCCCAGACCCCTGGGCTGCTCCTGCTCTCACCCACCTGCGTGTTCCTCGTGGCCTCCTCGCTCTGCCCCTTCTTGCCAAGGCAGGCCAGCTTCCAAGCCTCCCGCACCTCCTCATTCAGCACACAGAACAGGACCAGCACAGATAGGCCCTGCAGGGAGAGATGCCATGAGAGACAGTCCCTTGCTGCTGGCTGACCTGCTCACCCACAGTGCCAGCACCAGGACAGTCCCCGGATCCTCCAGAGCCTAGCGTGTCCCCCTGGGTGGCCACCAGTACTGGGCTGCACCAAAGAGCCCCCCAGTGCCGATACGTGCTAACCCGCATGGTGATCATGGGTGAGGGAGGAAAGGGGGGGGCGTTGTCCTGGCTGGCAGTGGCCAAGGAGCAGCTGGCAGGGTCCCCTATAGCAACACCATCCAGCCAGTGGCAGGAGGTCTTCAGGGTGCTGCTGTGGGTCATATCTGGAGTGTCCGACACCTCCTTTGCAAGCTGCTCTCTTGTTCTGCCCTCTGAGAGCATGGAGACCCCTTCCCTCCAGAGATGGTCCTTGCTGCCCCTTCCTGTCACTGCCGAACCAAGCGCCTTGCAGCCACCTCCGGCTCCGTGCCACCACTCACAGCAGGCACAGCAGAGAGGACTGGCAGGAGTCACCTGCTGCCGCAGTGGTGACAGCAGAAGGGACAAGGAGCCCAGCAGGACACTGGGGCTCAGCGCAGGGCACCCACTCTCCACAGGTGGCCGTGGTGACCACAAGAACGCTCTCCTGGGCTGACCCGTGCCCTCCCTTGGCAGAGGTTGGGCAGTTACCTGGAGGCTGCAGAGGACAGTGTAGAGGTAGTGGAAAGCCAGGACACTGTTGTTGACAGCCAAGAGGCCAAAGAGCCAGGTAGTGCTAATAACTAGAAGCAGAACAAAGGAGCTCCGTAACGTCATGCTGGAGAGAGAGAGACAGACAGACAGGCACACAGACACACACCAAGAGGTTAGTGTGTATTGTTAATCTACAGTCTAGTGCTCACAGACAGAGATCCAGAGGGGAGAAGCGTGCTCCTGCTCAGCCCTCCCTGCTGTGCCCAGCACTGCAGGCACATCCCCACACAGCAGTTCAGCTGCCCCTGACTCCCAGGCTTTCCCTTCTGGATCACACATGGCAAACACAGGGGCTCAAATGACACGGGTCATTTGGAGCCACAGAGAGCTGAGCCAAGCTCCCAGGCTGGCCCAAGAGGGAGTGGGGAAAGGTCTCAAGGAGCATGGAGGAGAGGAAGAAGCAGGTGCTGAGAGTCGACATGGGCAGTGTTGAATCCAAGCAGACACAAGGGGTGGCTGTGAGGGCAGGTGGTGAAGGGGTACAGGCTGGTGGGCCAGCATGGAGATGGAGATGTAGGAACAAAAGGAAAGGACAAAGTTTAGGAAGGGTTAATGTGGTTGGCAGGTGTGGGAGAGGATAGTGGCTGCAAGGCTGACACTGATGCACAGAGGGACACTCTCCGATGGTGGAAGAGGGAGGATGGCCACTGAAAATGCTAAACACCATGAGCCACAGGAGCTCTGCTGGGAGTTTGGCCACTAATACTCACAGAACCGATTTCTTCTTGGTCTCCTTTTGGCCTGGGGAACAGGACATCTTGGCCACAAGCAGGAACATGACCCCATTCATCTGAAAGTGTTGGCACTGATTAGAAGTTGTGCCAAGGGCCATCTCTGACCTGACATCTCCAGCGCAGAGCATGGGCAGACTCCAGGTCTGCCAAGCCCATCCAAACATTCCCTCCTTTCCCCTTCATGCCCAAGCCATGGCCTCCCCCAGGTTTGGCTGGAGCAAGGAGGGACAGAGAGAGGGCCTCTAACTGAGGAAGGAGAGTACAGAGAACGGGGCAGGCAGTGGGCAGCCAAGGAAGGGGCAAGTGCCCATGGTGTGGGGAAGGGAGGCAGGAGAGAGCTGTGGGTGAAACAGGACAGGGTTTTACCACAATGACGACAGTAATGGGGCCTGCAAAGCTCCAGACCAGCTTATCATGAATGGAAATCCAGCAGAAGTCAGGGTTTCCGTAGCCCTCAGGATCCAGGCCAACGGCCAGCCCTGCAGGAGGAAGGGAGAGGTCAGATCCAGACCCAGCAGCCTTGGGACTTGCCCAAGCCATGTCGATCCCATCCCAGCACTGAAGGCCGTGAAGGGGCTCTATCCCTGCTCCTTGCCCTGTGCAGAGTCTTCCCTGCCACAGGGGAAAGAGCCAGCACTGCGAGCCCCAGCATCAGGGCCTTTACTGCCTTTTCTTCAGGTGTCCCTGACACAGCCCAGCCCAGCAGGCATTCACTGCCAGCCACAGGTCACCCAAGCATGCAAGCTTGGGAAACCAGGAGACCTTAAACACAAGCCCTGGGACAGCAGGAGCCCCATGCACATCAAACAAGCCATGGGGAGATGCGCCAAGGAATTAATTCTCCCCAGGACGCAAGACAACAGCCTTTGACACAGTCCGCAGCTGACCACCGCAGCGCTGCTCGCTGCCAGCACTACTGGCCATGGCAAGCCCACCCTCAGCTCTCCCCACTGGGTAAGTGAGCCGGGCAACACCAGGGGATCAGGAGGCTGCTGAGAACTGTCGCTTTTGGCATGGCTGTAGGACAAGCTGCTCTTACCTGTGATGATGGCGGGCACTCCCCAGCCGATGGCATAGTAGAAACGCATGGCCCCGAAGTTGACATTGCGGGCTTCGGTCTGCATGCGGTAGATGTGGAGGCCCTGGACGAAGAGCCAGGCAAAGGTGGAGAGGAAGAAGCAGTGGAGAAGGATGGCAATCACAGTGCAAAGAAACTGGAGAGAAAAAAGTCACTCAGAGATGGTCCCACTGTGCCAACGCTAACTGCATCGTCCACGCCTCGCCCCCACCCCCACGGGTGCTCTTGTTCAAGCCCACAGACCTGGTTCTCAGTGCGGTTGATCCCCAGGAGAAAAAGCAGCTCAGAGAAGAAGAGGGTGACTGATATGTTGGAGTGGATGCCACGTGTGTTGGACTTGAGGCCTTTGAGGCAGGTCAGGAAGGAGAAGGTCAGCAGCAGAGCCACCAAGGAGAGGGACACCAAGGAATAGGTGACAATTGCCAATGTCTCCAGGTCACCTTCCAGTTGCTGCAGCAGCAGAGAACCAAAGGCAAATGGTGGTGTTAGGGGGAGATGTGGGAAGCCTGCTGAGCTCTCAGATTCTACTTGTGTCCCACAGGGAATTTTCTGCCTGTGCCCGCTTATTCTGGGACACGGTGGCTAACAGCCCCCGCCACCACCCCCAGCCCGAGGTTACCTCTCGGTGCGAGCTATCCATCAGAACTCCAAAGGTGCCAAACTGGGAGCACTGGCAGTGTACATGGGTGGTGTTTCTGTACACAAGCTCACAGTCCCTGGCTGTCCAGAAGCCGGAGGGGTTGGTCCTGCAGCCACCAAAAAGCAGAGCACACTTAGGAGAGAAGACAGGTGAGTGTGGTGTGTGGGGAAGGAACTGCAGAGAAGAGGGGCGATTGGCAAGGCTCTTCCACCAGCAACTGCACTCCCAATAGCTGAAGTGCTGGAGCCAGAGCCCTGCAGGGATCCTGCAGAGACCTATGTCCCATTTTTCTGGGAGAAGGCAGAAACCTCCATGTCCAACTGCTGCCCAGGCACACAGCCTGTCACGATGAGGGAAACTCGGGGAACAAGGAGGTGCCTGGGGAAAGCAGCTAAAAGAGAGTGGCCCAGCCGTGCTCAACTCACGGGTTGGAGTGGTTCCACTGGACACAGAGAGGTTTGCTCCTGTTGGCCGTCTCCAGCAGATGAAATTCCAGCACGAGAGGGGTGTCCAGGGGCCCCCGCAGGAAGGTGTGATTGCTGAACACAGACACACTCACGATGGGGGAGTTCATCACAGGATTCCTGGGGAGCCTGCAAGGAGCAACTGAGCTCTACCATCACCGTGCCTGGCAGCTGCAGCCCTCCAGGGACTTCCCAGATGCCCTGCACTGACATCTCAGAAGGAACAGCCCAGCCCACACCAAGGGGTTGGGAAACACGGGGCAGAGCAATACCAAGGTGAGGAACAGGCAGAGCACTGCAGGACCGTCTGGCTGGGAACCAAACCCAAGCCATTCCAGACAGACTCAGCAACTGCTGGAGGGAACAGAGCAGAGTCCAGCCAGCCTCTCTCCACTGGTGCTTCTGGAGGACAAAGGGGAGGAGGATGTACCTGACGCTGCGGCGATCCACCTGGTAGCGTGCAGGCAGCAGCCCACCCAGAGTGCGGTACATGATGAGGATGATCACAGTGAGAGCGGGCTCGGGGTCCGGCAGCACCTGCCTCGGGGAGGAGTTCTCCACAGTGTAGTTCCCTTCGCCCCCAGCCAGCGTGGGCACTGCCGTGGGGGCAGCTGAGGCACACAATGGGGTGGTGAGAACAGACACACACATGCTGCTCTGAAGGCAACTCGTGAGGCCATCAGGAGCCTTTGGGATGTGGTGAAGTCAGAAGCTCCAAGCTCTCAGGGGTGACTTGTGGACCTCTGACAGAGCCAGGTCTCAGCAGGGGTACATGCAGACTAGACGACCTTTAAAGGTCCCTTCCAACCCAAACCATTTTATGATTCTACATCTTCCCTGCCGGCCGCACCCACCCATGCTGTTCCTTGAGTGACGCTCACATGCTCACCTTCGGCTTTTGGGGGGCTCAGCACCGACAGCGGCAGCACAACGTGGGTGTGGGGGTCCCAGGCGGGCTGGCCCCGGAAGAGGCTGCTGTGGTAGCGAGGGTAGCGCCGACGGATGTGGGAGTGGTTCTCCATGCGATCGATGCTCAGCACTATGGAGGAGCGAGGGAGTGAAAGTCAGCTCTAGGAAGGCCACCTGGAGAGCAACCATGCTCCAGGGCACCCCATGTTTGAAGTCACTGGCAAAGGGACTGTATGAGCCACAGGCTGGGTTGTGGACATCTCCTGTGTTTGGGTATGACATGAAATCCCAGTACCCACAGTGCTCCTTCCCAGACCGTATCCTTGCTCTGCCGTAGGGCAGACTACTTCTGCCGCTGAAGTCAACGGCTTTTTCGCTAGAGACTGGGAGATTACTGGGAGCGGGCAGCACAATCCTGGCTCTGCTGTCTCTCAGTGGTGTGTCAGCTACTCCAGGAAAAGATAGGACCAGGACATCTCTCAAACACCTCCCCATGTTTGAAAGAGCCACTAAGGACGTTATCAGCACCCTTGCTAATGTGAAGTGAGAAAAGGACAGGGTGTGACAGAGGAGTGGTTCTGCACCACCCCAGCCAGGCCCCACCATCAGCCAGCTCCTACTCACTGATGTTGGGGGTGACGACGCCGACGGGGTTGAGGTAGGTGAGTTTCATGTTGCTGGCCAGCGTGCCCGAGTAGTCCCGCAGCTGCTCCATGAGGCTGGCGCTGCCGTGCTCGCTGTGCGGCAGCATGGCCCAGTGCTCCCGGTTCTCAGGCGCCAGCACAGAGCTGCCTGCGCGCAGCAGGTTCTGCATGGGAGAGACACGCGGGCGTGAGGGAAGCACTGCCTTTGGGCCCTGTCCTGACCACGTCAGGCTGCAGCACTGTGCTCTCTGCACAAGGACTTGGTGAAGAGGGCTACTTTCTGCTATGATGGGCCCCCAACCATCAACGTTTATCAAGCAGTGTCCTACAGAGACATCTTCCCTGCACCCCTGCCATGAGGGACTTGCAGCCAGCAATAAGGCCTCCCTTTGCCTTCCCAGGCTGAGGAAACTGGATCTCTGTCTCTCCTCATCCACCCTGTGCTCCAGCCCTGACCACGCAGCTGACCATGGGTCTCGCTCCTGTGTGCCAGTATCTGTGTGGCACTGGGGAGCCCAGTGCTCCTGACGTGGTCTCACAGCATTCTCGATCCCCTCAGAGACCCAGGCTCAGGGTGGTTGATAAAAAGAAGCACCATCAGAAGCGACTCTGATCTGGGGGAAGGATTCACCTCATTGAAGTGGGCGTCCTGTGTGGCTGTCAGCCCAAAGCCACGCTGCCGGCTCTCAAAGGCCATGAGGCGCGACAGCAGGCGGAAAGTGATGTGCACGTCATTGCCAAAGTAGTGGTCCATGTGGTCCGTCACAGCCCGGAGCCGGTGGGCCAGCTTCTTGGCTTCAATTGTGTTGAGCTCAGTCTCATTCCTTTCTAAGCCCTCCAGCTGCCAGAGGGGAGAAAGGAGGGGATTAAACAATTAAGCAGGTTCCTCACTGGGAAACTGGGATGCTGCAGGCCCCACTGGACCCAGAGATGATTTCTGAAACCATGGCACAAGCCACGGACACTCACAGTGGTGGTCACTAGAACAGGGAGCACCTCTGGCAGACAACCAGCCTCACCAGGGTTTGCACTGGCCCAGCTAAACCAGTGCTGTACATGACAGAGGCCAAGGAGACGAAAGGACAGGGCAAGCATTTACTGACACTAGATGAAGCCCAGAAACTCTCCTGGCTTCAGTTACAATTCAACATAGGTGAGATGCAAGTGTTCAAAAAACTTGCCTGAATATTTCAAAGGGATTGGTCACTAAGAGTCTGGGGGCTACGGATGTCCCCACAGAGCAGACATCCCACCAGCTTCGAACAATTCAGCCCTGCTCAGGGTCATTTGTTTTCCTATCAAATACTGGGGCAGGACACAAGTCATTTCTGATGGGGACACTCAGATTAGATGAAGCCAAGTGAACTTCAGCTCAGATCAGTGCTCTCACAGCATGGCTTTGTGGCAGGAGAGGAGAAGAGAAAGGTGTTGAGCACTGTGGCAAGGCCCTCTCCTACTCTAGGTGCCCATGGGGAGCTGAGCTCTTTGAAACCTGGCTGTAAGCCCTTGTTCATATGGCTCCTGCTCTGTCAGGGCTGCAGAGCCGAGAGGATTACCAGCATGGAGAGCTCCTTGAAGGCAGGTGAAGTGCAGTTGAAGAGATCTGGCTCCAGCCAGCCCTTCTCCTCATCACAGTGTCTAACAGCTGCACCTAAAACCAGGAGGAACGGCATGTCTGAAATTCAGCACGATACATGGCTCCCCTGCATCCCCCCAGCAGGGACCCCCTGCACTCGCTAATCCCAAAGAGCAGCACTGGCAAGCGATGGGGAGGGCCTGTAACACCCCAGGGCTGTCCTCCTGCTTTGCACCAGTGCAACCCCTTCCACCCTTGGTCTGCATCACCTTGGCAAGCTGTTGCCATCCCCTCCCTCCAGGAGCTGGGTTCCTATGTGTGCTTCTGGGCTGCATCACGCCAGGTGCCATCACACAGAATTGCAAAGAGGAATAAGCGACTTGGCAGGGCTCAGGCTGGAGAAGCCTCCGGTTCCTGGTGGGGATGTGTCTGTGTCCTCAGGGCACATCTGACCCTAAACTACTGAAGCCCATGCAGCTCTAGACATCCCCTGGCTGACAGCCTGCAATGCCTGCTGAAGTCCTGCCTCTCTCTACAGGTCAAAGTCACCCCAGGAGGAAAACCACCCTGCTGTGGGGCTGGCAAACCCACCCCAGAGACAAGCCCCTGCAGTCGAGTGGGATGAAGGACCCCCCATCCAGCAGTGTGGGTTCAGTACCCAGCACAAGACCCCAGTCCCAGGCTGGGGCCCAAGCACTACTGCACAGCAATGGAGATACCAGCAACGAATGGGATCAGCTGTTAATCACCACCAAAAGCGCTGCTAAACCTGACACAGAGAGCAGTGTCCTGGGCCAGGGGTGCCACCACGTACACTTCGAGCAAGAGGAACCTGGGCAGCCCCAGTGTACCCGGTAGGACTGTGGACCAGGCCCTCCTGGGGATGGTACCAGGGCACAGGAGCCCACCCATGTGCCCATGGCTGGGAGAGCACAGCAGCACGGCCAGGGTGGGGAGAAATTGCCTGGAGCAGTAAAAGCCTCAGTAACCAGCATCCCCCCTCCCACCATCTCTAGCTCCTAGCTGTCCTCCCCAACCACCTTTCCCCCAGCTGCAGAAGCACAGGGACCAGTGCCATTGCAACTAGGGAGCAGGGAGAACAAAGAAACTTCCATGCTGCTGGCCTTCCCCTGGCAGAGAAAGAGATCAGCTCAGCTGCAGATCTGGACAGGATCCGGCCTCCAGATCCCTCTGCCTCCCTCTGCCTGGCCGGCAGGAGGAACGGGACCTCATGCTGTGCATGCTCATCAGTTCCTGCCCCTGCCCTGCTGCCCCCAGCTCAAACAGCTCCCCCCTTCCTCCACCCCATGGCCATTCCTCCATGGCCTCCCTACCCATTGCTCACCACCAGCTCCTTCCCCTCCCAGCCAAAGCAAGCAGGTACCAGCCCGGGAGAGCCAGCATCCATCCCGGCTGGGGAGCAGAGCGTGGACCCGCCCAGAGCCAACGCTGCAGGCTCAGGACAGTGGGTGGCAGGGGCTGCATGCAGCTGCAGCCGGGTTTGTGTTGGTTAGTGTGCTGGGAGCAGGGAACAGCGTGTAGGAGCGGTGAGGCCAGGCAAAGCGTTGGGAAGACACTTGGCAGCTCCAGAAGCGGTGGGGAAAGCACAGGGGTGTGCAGGGTGCCAGGCAGGGAGCAGGGAGGGAAAGCCGTGTGGTGCAGCCCTTACAGCACAGGGGGAAGGAGATGGGAACAACCTTACCTGCACCCCTCAAGCCTGAGCACGGAGGGCGAGAGAACCGGGGAGAGAAGCGACAACAGTTAGGAGCCGAACCTGCCTCCTCCTGGGGCGAACGGCTGGAGAAGGACATGGTTTGTATTGTCCCCTGGGGCTTGCGCTGCCCTACAGTCCCAGACACCCTGCTCACACCTCTGCCGTCACCAAGGATGGCCTCCTCCAGCTCGGGACATTGGCTCCTACCCAAGACACGCACCTAACGGCATGCTGTGCACTGCTCCCCTCGCAGCACACACCAAGGATGAGGCCAGTGGAGCCACCACAAGGTGCCACGGGTGCCGAGCTGCCGTGCCAGGCCTGACCCCAGCCTCAAGCCTGCTGAAACCAAGAATCAGCAGGGAGAAGGTGGGGATCGAGGCCAAGGGAACAGCACCACCTCAGGGCTGGGTGATGGGCCTAGACCCCACAATCTGTTCCCAGCCCGAGCCCCATGGCTAGCCCCCTCTGCTCTCCCTGAGGCTGCAGTATTTTCTCCTCCAACTTCCTTCTCCCGGCCCTCAAGCCCAGCTAAATGGGACTGGGACAGCACAAGAACAGTGACATTGCTACGGCTGCTACAGCCCCTGGCAGGATAGCCAGGCTGCCCCCTCCCCTCCCCATCACATCCCCCACTCACCCAAGGAGCCTTTGGGACACAGCACCGCAGCCGAAAAGCCAAACTTGGTCTGGGGCCACCACACACCCGCCTTCAGGCTTTTGGGGCAGCCATCATAGAGCACTGTGGAGACACACACGCCAAGGGGCTGGTCACTGGGGGCAGCACCCCATGGCAACAGCTCCCCACCATGCCCACACTCACCCTCGCAGCCGCTGGGCGTCACCTCGGCAAAAGGGCTGTCACAACTATTGCACTGGCGCCCGATGACCCCGGGCCGGCAGTGGCACCGGCCTGTCTCCTTGTCGCAGGAGCGTGAGGTGGAGCCCACAGGGTAGCAGTCGCAAGGCAGGCAGGTGTCGCTGCCTTTGGGGCGGTAGTGGAAGTCCTAGAGGGGAGATGGGGACATCCATCAGACAGCCCATTGGGACAGCACCCAAGGCCAACGCCTGGGGAACCACTGGAGTCAGGACAGAGAAGGGCCAGGCTCTCCTGATTTGCAAGCACCCCCACTGCCCCCATTGTCACTGTGCTGAGGCAGGAGGGCTGCACAGAAGAGCTGAGTAGGGATCCAGCCCAGAAGTGGGCACACAAAGTAGGGCCCTAGGCAGCTGCCAGGCCTTTGGAGGGGACAAGGAACAGCATCAAGGACAAGCAGGGCTCCAGGCAAGCCATGGGCCATGTCCCCATGGGCACAGCTGCCCCTCACCTTGCAGTGGCATTGCCCGTTGGTTTTATTGCAGTCAGGGTCAAAGCCCTTGTTCACATCACAGTTACAGGGCCCACAGGTGGGATTCCCC